CTTTTGTCCACGGTAGTGGCTCCTCAGATCTCTTTTCAGTGGTTATGTCTATGTATATTAGGTTATGAATAGTACGTCTGTCTTCTAATAGAAACACGGGCAAGGTCACGTTTCTGTACTTTAGGCAGTAGTGATTTTAATTGATGATAACCAAAGAAACAAATAATTAACTGTAGTAAAACAGTTCATAAACAGATCCACATATCCCATTAATGAGTAAATCGGCACACAACCCCTGAATGGACAAGTCAAGAGGGTTAACCTTTATCCACGGTAGTGGCTCTTTAGATCTCTTTACAGTGGTTATGACTGTGTATATTAGGTTATGAATAGTACGTCTGTCTTCTAATAGAAACACGGGCAAGGTCACGTTTCTGCATTTTAGGCAGTCGTGATTTTAATTGACTATGGTAATTTTCAGAGTCCCTTAACTCAAACTGGATCAAAAAGAGAAGAAATCATGGAATACGAAGACAGTGAAAATCAGACACCTTGGAAAAGTTAAGGTGGACTGCCCTTTGCGATTTATCACCCACCTGATTGGCCATCCTATGTATTTGATTTAAACTCACGAAGCGATTAAATGAAAAAGATCAGATTCTTTGAAACAGCACAACATTCATGGGAAAATGAAACAACATGCTTTTGACATATTTGGATTCAAAACACTTTATCAGGGGGCGTCCACAAGTATCCGGAATTGCTTTACAAAAACGCTCTCAACCAGCGGAAAGAGTGTACTCGACTGAGAGTCTCGAGGAAACTGTTTTCCCCGTTCTCTTGCGGACTGTGAAAGGCGGAAGTTTCAGTAAGCGACGGATGTAACAATATCTGATCTCGGGACGGATAAGAATGTTTCACTGCCAACTTTGTATCTTTTAGTTCGTGTTTTTTAGACTTGCAGCATGTCCTTAGTGTTAAATGTTTGAGCTTGTTATTATGCCGCGACTTAAATCCGAATAGACCTAATTTGAACGACTCAACAGAGTTCCGAAGTCACTAAGTACCTGTTATGTTTTGAGTTACACCATTACGTAAAAGTACTTGAAGAGACATGTTTGTCGACCAAACTTTGATTTCAGAGGAAGAGAGGGAGAATTTGGGAATGCTTTTAGGCCAGTGTGAGTAAAAAATAGTTGTTTTAAAACACAAACGGTTGTATGTGTGAACGGGAGAGAAACGGATAGGAAAACGATGCGCGTGAACGCCCATTTTTCTGAAGATGAAGCAAAAAAAATTGTTTGGAAATTAAAGTATACTTGTGCACACGCCTGAATTATTAAAACCTTACACAACGTATTGTGTCGGATATAATGACAAATGATAAGAATTTTCAATTATTGTTCACTGACCAATCAGATGCAGGCGATCATTAAGTAACGAGCTCCCTGCTATATAGGTGAAGTATCGATTAAAACAAACCATAGCGGTCATTAGATTAACGCCCCTCAGGTTTGTGGTTCCAACAAGTCACATCGGTGTGTTCAACTCCAAGAAAAAGGTGAGAGTTTTGTCGGCTTCCCTTCATTAATAGCCTACATGTTGCAGTATTAAGTTCTAAACTTCCTGGTCCATAGCATAAGCGGATTGCTACCTTAAATGTAGAAGTGCCTTGTGCGTTTTCCAAATGATACTGACGTAAGAGCCAATCAGGCAATAGGCGGCTAGCTGATCGCTAGAACCTTATGTTTTTGGACTCAGTGACAAGAATGACACTATATATGTGCTTGTTTCCAGTAGTTTTGTTTGTTTGTATGTTGGCTTTTTTGTTTATCACCATACTATTCCAGAGATCTGTTTGTATGCAAACGTTAATTAACTAGCCTTTAATAATCTTTCCGATTAGTGGTGGTTACGCACAATGCCGATATACACAGAAAACACACAGAAGAATTGGCAAAATTCTGGTGGCAGGGAAGCAAAGTATGTGCTAAGGCGACCAGGAGAGAACCCCTTCTGGGGGGAGACAAGATCGAGTGGTACCGGGGGTAGCCACCCTGGACAGGAGTCCTGATCAGTCTCCGGGGGTGAGGCCCATATCCCCAGTCACTAGGAACTAAGGGGAACCAGGGGGGTGGCCCTCCTGGGTGGAGTACAGATCAGGTGGGACCGGGGGTCCACACCACGGAGTGGATATTTTTCCGGACCTGTCTCCAAGGGCCAAGCCTTACTCTGAGGTAAAGTGCAACCAGGGGTTGCACTTCCCTGCCACGGACTGTGGAGCATGGGGAGACAAGGGACACAATCCCCACCCCAAATCAGTTTATGTAACCGTAAACTTGAACTATAAATGATCACTCACGCCTAACTGCTCAGGCAGTGCATAATCAGTTAATTTGCGGTTGGAGATCGGGGTAAAATTAACGATACCCACCCGGTGCTGTATACTATATATTTTATTCATTAGACGGTCTTGTTTAATAACTCACCTGTTGTCCTCGGAAAAACAGAAATGGATAATTGTTTCGAAATCAATTTAACGGTTTAAATATTATGACTCAGTCTGTTGCAAAAAAAACATAGAAGACAAGTAGAAATTTACTTTTTATTTAGCATTTTAAGAGTATTCGCCCTTTTATCCCTGTAGATTATTTTTTTATACATATTTGAAGGTTTACCGGATCCTTTACCATGGCAAATTTGTAAATTTAGGGACAAAAATTACAAAAATGGCCCAAAAGAGACACGAGCGCTAAGGTCATTTGAAAAGCTGTTCATTCATGATTAAACAATGAGCGAATTCATAAAATCAGAACGTTCCAAGAACATGACTCGGCCCTTCTTCAGGAAGTTTTCTGGATGAAACTGTAATGTCCATATCTTTAAACTTACAAAATGATGGCTTCGTAAAAGAGGTCTGTCCACTCTTGATAAAGTGGAACGTGACTGATACATGGCTGAATGGGTGCAGCAAAGAATTCATAATTTATGATTGCGGTTAACGAGGCATTAATTTTGTCTGTAATCCAGAAAGTTCTTAAGAGTCCTGTAAGACAATTTGAATTTCCTAACAACTTGCCTACAAAATTTGCGTTCACATCCATAAAAAAACATGTGTAAAAAGCATGTCTTTTTTGCAAAAACCGGAGCACAGAAAATATATGAAGGCCTCTTGCAGCACCTTAGATCCTTCGTGCAACACGCCTGGAAGCCTCTCGGAGTACCGAAAAGAAGCCATTTTTATATTGGCACACCAGGTTTTAATTGGAAATATGATAAATCACTTTCATGTGGTTTATTTTTGGGTGTGTGCAAACTTTTTAAGAACCATTAAGAAAGCTGTTCTAAGGTGAAAGGCTACTTGAGGTTAAAATATGTTCCAGAATGTATCTGCCCGCAGGGCTTTGAATCCAATGAGAAACTTTTCATGAGATAAAATAAAAAGAATAGAAAATACAGAACTTATTGTGTTCACAATAAATACTTCAGTTTGAATTTGGGGCTCGGCTTGAACCTACTGCATGAATAACTTGAAACAAATAAATTGATATATTTTCAAAGGTAACCACTCTGGACCCTGTGTATAGGGAACTTGTATCAGCCTCCGTTGCCATCCACCACCTAATAAGATAGGATCTCAGTAATCGACGTTTGAGCACCAAGCAAGCATGTTGTAAAAACATTATGCTGAATAATAACGCACCCAAATGCCTGCAAAAAGTCAAAACATGCACGAGTTTCCGACGTCCAAGTTTTTCAGTTATTTTGAGACTGTAACATTTTGCTTTGTTACATTTCGCGTTAAAAATAATATTTCATTTTGCGTCAAAAGCTTGTTATATTTTGTGTTAAAAAGTTGTTAGAATTTCGGTCACAAGTTGTTACATTTCGCGTTTATTTTACATTTTACGCTAATGTTACATTTTGCGGTGTAAGAGCGCCCCATTGTCCTGCTGTCAAACAATTTTTCAATAATGTAAATTTGTGTTTCTCTGCCTTCTTTCAGGAAAGTTATATTATTGCTGAGAAAGTCATGACTTCAACTTTGTTAACTTTTGTATACTTAGCTGAATTTTCCGTTGCCTTGGCGGCAGGTAAGTTAGTGAAAAAACTAGAGCCAAAAACGTTATATTTCATAAGGTAGCGTGGCAGCCTGATTAGCCTGCTTGGTATAGAGCGCTGGCCTGCAGAGCGGACGTCGTGGCTTAATTTCCAGGGCCAATAATCAGGGCTCTTCACGATCAGTAAAAGTTCTTTGTAACTTTCTATGGCACTGATGATCGAGGAAAATTTGTTTTTTTTCCGGAAAAACGAATAAATTAACGTCAATCCACTGCCACTGATTTGAATACGCTAACGACCCTGACAATCCAAAGCTACCTTCCGATCAATCAACAAGACAGTTGTCTACCGTACCACTGTATCCTGTTATTATTATTACTATTATTATTATTATTATTTATTTATTTATTTATTTATTCGGTTTATTTATTTATTTCCCGTTGTGGCATGGTTATTCCACTTCAAGCCGGTTTTAATCTTGATTTATTATCTTTTTTTTCTAGGCTGGAGCTATGATGCGAATGCTCCTGATGGTAAGTTTTTTTTCCTTCTTTTTGCTTGACCTGTATATCTCCGTTCTTCCTCCAAAATTGCTTTTTTATAGAGTTTCCCTCCTTTAGGCTATCTTCGGTGACGGCATACTATCTTGTGTATGCTATACGAGTATGTTTCGTTTTCTATATAATGGGGTCTCAATTTTGTCCTCTTTAGTCTGAGTTGGGTTATTTAATGTGTAACTTTCCTGTTTTTATCCTTCTGCCTTTCCAAATCATTGTTACCACCCCGCTCATCCACAAACCCCGGGGAAGGTTTACGTACACTTTCGCTCCTTCCTTGCAAGGAAACGCTTGCTATCAATGAATGAGACTTTACATAACCGATTTGCGCACCTAACATCATATGGACCTTCTAACTCTTCCCTAGGACCAAGCAATTGGCCTGGCGTATGCACTACCGGGACGGAACAGTCGCCTATAGACATCAACACCACCACAGTCATGTATGACTCAAACCTGGGTGATTTTACACTTGTCAACTACGACAATACACCACCCGGTGTCAATTTTACCGCTACAAACAAAGGCAAAGGCTTGCGAATTTCATTTGACAGCAATGTGTACAACGTAAGCGGGGGTGACCTTACCGGAACATACACCACCGTTCAGTTTCACTTGCACTGGGGATCAAGCAACGACAAAGGATCGGAACACACTGTGGACGGGGTGATGTATCCTGCCGAGGTGTGTTATGTTTGATGCTATGCGGCAGCGTTAAGCTTCGTATGATGGAAGTAATTACCTTGGTAAAAGCTGAAACGATGGCGAAGGAAAAACGCTTTTCACACAGAAATACATAAATTCTTTACTCAAAAAAAGACTGCAGCAAGGTACTAAAGAATATAACTTGGGATAACAGTCGTCTTCGCCTTAAAACTGAGTTTCCTGGATTTCGCCGAGCAAAGCATATACATTATTTCGACGAATCCAAACCATACTCTACACATCCTTACGAACATTTGAGTATTTAACTTTAGGTACCTTTGTTTCTGCTTAGTTTCCATTGCTCTTTAAGGCATAAATAAGCAATTTTCAAGGTCAAGGATTTTTCTCTCAAACTAGACGATTACTGGGGGTGTTTGAAACCAACCAATAGACTGAAGCGTTTGTTTTTCTGTTCCGCGCGTTAAGAGAATGGTTATACTATGTTATAAAAAAAGTTCCATGCTTTTAGCTGTGGGGTAGTATGTAAACAAGAGAAGATATCCTCTCTTCATATGACTAACGAGCTCATTTCAATTTGCAGATTCATTTTGTCAGCTATAACACTAAATACCCAGACATCGTCGAGTCACTGTCTCATTCTGATGGTTTGGCCGTTCTCGGTGTCTTTCTTCAGGTAGGCGCATCCTTTCACTCCCAGGTCTGTTTCCATGTCCCATACTCCTTTCCAAAAGTAGCTACATGTAAGGTAATCCGGATTCCGGAATTAACGAGATTTTTGCCCGTGGATTCCGGAATGCAGCAAATTTTTCGTTTGTAATCCGGAATCCCTGTTCCCCTGACAAAGAATCTTGAATCTAGTACTTGGAATCCGGAATCCACAGCGTCGAATCCAGAATTCTATTTCGGATTTCCTTGCATGGGGTGACAAAGGCATCAATTGTGTTGTATGAAAAAGCGCAAGCTTATGCTTCTTCAAGTTTGTCGAAAGGTGTTGCCTTTTTAAGGTGACATAAACTGAAAATGACTTAATCAAGGTTAATATCCTGTGGTATATAGTTCCACAGATATTAGTATTTTCAAATATTGAAAGTGGAATAGTTTCAAAGGCAAGGTCGTTATTCGCAAAGGCGTAGTGCATAATTTGAAAAGGAATTAAGATATTCATTGTTTTGTTATTACTTTCTAAATGTTAGGTTGGCTCAAACGAAAATCAGGCCTATAAAAAATTCTTGGATCAAATCAGCTATGTGAAAAACATGAGTAAGTGGTTTTTACATTTTGTGCTGTGTTGCGAAAGTAATAGAGACCTCTAGATTCCTTTGACGAGGAAGACTACGAGGACAACTACAAGGATCAATTGAATAGTAAGCAGTGCTTGTGCATGAACCAGCGTCATTTTGGCGGGAAATGAGATAGCCGTCGTCATTCTAATACGAGTTTTTGCAAGAGTGTCATCGTGGTGGCGGAAACGAGTTATATATAAAAAAAGGTTACAGGTTTTATCATTTTACGACCGGGATACCGAGGGTTTAACCTCCTTCAATAAAGATAACAGTGCTGACTTTTCTAGTGAAAAAAAGTACAGTAAAGCTTTCCGGGATGTCTATTTTTCAGCTCGAGAAAACCTGAAGTCAAAACTCGTACTAGTTCGTAGTCGTTCTCGTCTCAAAATTTAATGGTCTCTAGTGTTAAATAAACAGGCTGTGATGTTTAAATCAAAATTTTCTCGTAAAGGAGGAGCTTTTGCTCAGACATTTTGAGGCTGACCTCACACTGAAACGGTTGGTTTCAAAAATATCTTACTCTGGAGATTAGAAATAACTAAATGGAAAATCTAAGAGTGGATGCTTCGCGAATGCCCGATGCCTGACACCTCAACGATAGCATGAGAATACAGCCACCTCTCATCATGACTCCTCGTTGCTGCGACTCTTCACGTTATTTTTGAGGCCCGAACGCAAACGCCTCTCTCGCAAAACGTACCAAATAAGGGCGACCGTATTCCGAGGTTAATTAACTGCAATTCGGCATTGAGGCAGGTCGTTGAATAGACGCGTAATATACACAGTTAATGAATGTGGCTAGCATTCTATTAGCTTTTCAGAAAGGGACTTTTTACAAAAGCTAACCATTTGTGCCCTTGCTTAACCCATTTTTCTCCTTTTTGCATGATATATACTGCTATTTTTCTTCACAAAAATACTCATACTGTATTTCATATATCTTGCACGTTGTTTGATTGTCAGTAATCACAATTCGTCTTTCAATCCACAGGTGGGGACGAGATAAAATTTTCAGCCTTTCCGCTTATGAGTCTCCTTCCAACGGAAAAGACCAAGTACTATCGATACCCGGGCTCCCTGACAACCCCGGGTTGCCAAGAGGCTGTTACCTGGACTGTTTTCAAAGATCCTGTCGAGATATCGCAGGCTCAGGTAAAACTTGCAATTTCTTGTTTTTGGTTATTATTATTATGGTTCTTTTCCAAGGATGCATGGGGGATTTATTTGATTCATTCATGTTTTTCTAACTATTATCAGTGGCCCATATGGGCTCCAGCTTGTTTACAGCTCCTGTATACGTCGAAGCCATAATAATAATAAAGACCTTATTAATGTTTCAAATGCCTAGCTTACATGGAGTGTAAACTAATTGTGGACACCTGACTATCTAAAAAGGAAAATCAAACACCTAAAATAAACAAACTCGGAAACCCTGCCCGCTTCATTAATTATTCTCAGAGTTACACATGTGACAGTTCTTAAGGTTTCATTTCTAATGAGGTCCTCAATGTCCACTTTTCTTGCCTGGTTCTTTAAAGAAGCAAGTGTTAAAGAACTTTTACTGTGCATACTCAATTTGGACCATAGTTATTACAGCGCCAATATATCTAATACTGTGTTTCCCATAGGTGGTGGTGTTTATTCTTGGAATCATAAAACTGCCTGAATTTCTCAGGTTATAACTTCGGTTGCTTAAATTTAAAATATCGGATATATAACTAGGGCATAAATTATACTTAACTTTGTACATTACGATTGATATCTGCTGCAGCCTTCGGTTCAGCAATGAGGGGAATTTAGCCCTTACAACGGTCAATCGTGTCAATCGTACGCACTGCATTTATCACAACAGACTGATCTAAGCACTCTTTCTTGCAGTCTCTCAATCTTCGGGCTATCAGATTTTCTACAAAAGTGCCATACCGTCTGACAATAAGTTAATTGTGGCAAAATAAAAGATTTTTAAACTAGGCTAAGCTTTGCTAATGTTGGTATTAAAATTTTCAGTCTCTTCAGGACCCCTATTTTCCTAGATACTCTTTTAGATAGTTCTTCTAAGTGGCTGGTAAACTTCAGATGCTCAGGGACACCCAATACCTTCACTTAAGCACTTCATCACTTGCTTAGTAAGCGTTTCATTGAAACTACTCGCCTGCAACTTGTTGTTCCATTTGAGGTTTGAAAATTTACACTCATCATTTCTATGGTCGATAAGAGTACAGACTACGAAAAAATGTTGTCGATTTGTTGATTGATAGTTCCCTTAGGAAAAAAGTTAACAGGTTAATCTTGTTTCCCTATAATCCCAATAAACGGAGACAAAAAAAGTATTTTCTCCCTCTGGTCAGCACCAGCTTTTCTTGGTATTTCTCTGTGTCTTGATGTTCTCAAAACTGAACTCTTTTATGACTTATATGCATAATTATAAGCAGCCAAAGAGTACGTAAATTGGCTAAAGAAAGTAGGTGTTGTTTAAATATAACAGTCTTCGATTGGCTTTTTATCCTATGGGGATTGGACAGAAAAGAAACTGAACAAAGTAATATAACACTGAGGCCTCTTTGACGACAAGAAAACGTTCCTATTTCTTTCGACGGTTCCCTTAATTCTTTGGCATACGTCTTTTAATTTTGGACTTTTAGAGAGTTAAAAGTTATGGTCTTCTGGAATTCTAGAGGTGGGGACCTCAAAATTAGTTCGCAGTCCATAACCGTCAATAAAAAAATATATGCCCGTCCTACCCCCGCCCTCTCCCTTTTAAATGCAACAGCTCCACCTTGTTACCAGCTCCCCATCTCGACCAAACTTACGAGATTGACGTTATTGCTGCGCTTTGATACACTAAATGAAGGTTTTAAACGAAGAATTCTGGTCTTTGTTTCTGATTAGCTCGACCATTAATTTCACTATTATAGTATGGGGATCGAGATGTTGCAGAACCTTTCATAAACAAGAAGATTCTCGGACCTTTCGCAACATGTCTCACGTAAAGCATTTTGCACGAAAATTTGTCCTAATAATTATTATGCAAGAATTAAAAAGTAGCACAAGTTCGGTGCATAAATTACTGGGTGTTTCGATACTGTTTTGCATATTACAAACGATTTATAGACTTTGAATGAAAAATTGAACACAGTTGTTAAAAGGTAGAATTATAGGCACAAATATAGAGTAAATCAGTTCACTTACACAAACTTGGGTTTGTCGTTGCTTTTTCTGTGTATCCATGGCTGAGTTTTTTGCCTGCTCAGTTTATCGCCAGTTTTCCACGGCTTTGCGGCTCGTTGTTTGTTGGGTGTTGTTTTCCTACATAAGGGGAAGCAAGACCGGTTACTCTGTGCAGTCTCAACACACAAATCTCTCCCTTATCAAAGAAGACCGCACTGATTCGGCATGAGAACACCAAATCCTTAAAGGCCAGATAAAGTTCTCACCTCTTTCCCTCGTCATGGGTATTGCGATGAGTTTTTGGTGGGAAAAACTGCAGAAAACTTTTGTTTCTGGGCAATCTGGCGTGCGCTCAGGAAATTCAATGACAACGCGCCAGTGCGTGGTGAACACGGACACTTTACATACGCTCCTCTCATTGGCTATTTCCAAACACCGCTCACGCGCAATCAGTGGACTATTTGAGGGTAGGAAGATCCATGTTCCATCTTTCGTTGAAGAAATAAATCCCATTTTCTTTTTCACTTTACAGCTGGATGTCCTGCGTATGATGAAGTACAACGACACCGTGAACATTGTTAACAATTACCGCCCCGTTCAGATGCTCAGCAACCGTGAAGTGAAAGCCAGCTTTGGCATGATAACGACTGCCCCTCCTGTCACAAGGACTGCCCCTCCTGTTACAACGGTTGCCCCTTCTGTTACAACGGCTGCCTCTTCTGTTACAATGGCTGCCCCTTCTGTTACAACCGATGGCGTTGCTCTCAAAATATCAAATGTCGTATTGGTGTTGGCGCTCTTCCTAGGAGCAGCCTTCTTTAATTAAGTTTTTCTTTGTTAAAAATGGAAAAAAATCAGTAGTCTCTCTAGCAACCTTATATGGCTTGCCGGGTGTTGGGAAAGGGATCACCAAATACATGGGTTCCCCTTCACTGATACCATCAGTGGGTGAAGGAGTAGAGGGTGTGTATGTAAGTAAAAATTAGACATAAAATAGGTGAGGATAATGGTTAAGCAAAGTAACTGAGAGACTAATAAACTGCAATGCAGTTAGTCTCACAGTAACACAGCATAAAAATAAAATGAGAAACATAAATGGGTTAGGGTACAATAATAGTGAGGCACCCACAGACTGCTATGCAGCTATGTCCACTATAGTATTGCATAAATAAAAATCATAAGTACAAAAGAGTAAGAGGAGGTATAAAGGTAGTATCAGTTAATGGATGAAGTGTAATTATATGTAGTGTGAATATTGTCTAATGCAGCCATGTCTAACACAAAGATACAGTGTCGAGTCCAGGAAAAAAAATGCAAGAAATAGAAAAAAAGAGGAGAAGTTAGAGGGGAGGGATAACGGTAACTTAACCCTGATTAAGGTGTATGTAAAGACATCAACTATTAATAATTAGTATATAATTAAAGACATTATTAGTAAAAATAACGTTTGATAAAAATTGTATGATGGAAAGTATGAACACAATAAACCATTCAAAGAGTTGACTAGTACCCAAAATGGTACCCCTACTGAAAGGTACCCACCATAACTTTGTGGGAAAAAAATTTCAGAACAGTAGATTCACCTAGCAACCTTTGTGGTATTGCAGGTGATTAAAGTATGGGATCCCTAATGAAAGGATTCCCAAGTCTCCACTGAAGCAGTGGGTAAGATAGAAGGGAGGGAGGGTGTGTGTAAATGGGAGTGTCGTATGCATAAAAACACAAATAAAAATGGTCAAAGGAAAAGTAGTTAATTGTTAGAAAAAGCACTGATATTGAGCGACCAACAAACTGCAATGCAGCCACGTCCAACAAAAAATATACAGTGCAATATAAAAAAATAGGAACTGAAGGGTTAGTCTATTATATAGCTACAACTTAGTTTTTAACTTAGGACTTTGAAGGTAAACTGGTGTCTACAGCAAACAGATCCACTAGCTACAGCCGTAGCAAAATGTCTGCGGTACTGCACATGAAAGTACTGAAAGGTCTTGGAAATAAAAAGTAGTTGAATACTTATTCTAAAATATATCAGAAAACCTCTGCAGTAGACTAATTAGCGAGAAAAATAAATGGAAACTCCTCAGCTAGGAGACAAAAACTCCTCTTCAATGGATGTGGCCCGCAAAAGGAAGCAAAATTTTTTCTGGCGCACACATCATATAGGTAATCCGGCATGATGACGTACAAAATGAGAGGCGCCTGAACAAAGAAAATGGCAGGGAAAAGGGCAGTTATCCTACTTAAAAAATAACTTTTTTAAAAAAGGATAAACTGCCAACCAGAAAATATAATCACTCATGATATTATTTCGTTCTTTAAAACTTTGAAAGTAGGTAAAAAAAACAGTTAAACAGTTCTTATTAGTGGAGGGTGTTAAAAAAGAAGAACAAGGGATTCAAGTCATAAAAACAACTACCATAGGAGGAGAGAGAGAAAGAGAAAAAAAAAGGCACCCATCCTGAATTATGATAAGATAATTTTCAGATAAAAGAAAACATGGAAACATGGGAAAGAAAAGGTTAAGGGACCCGCGGGTATATATTTAGGACAGTGGATGTATCGACACCAAGGCTCCTAATAGTTGTGAATTTCCAGGGGCATAGCACAACTGGCAGGAATGTTTTAACCCGGCACCAGGTCATATGCCCGACATTCCCGTGTTGAGTTCGGGAAAAAGAAGAAATGTCAGAAATAGAAAAAAAGACTAAAAGAATATTCATTAAAAAAGGAAGTGCAAGAAATAGAAAAAGGACTAAGAGAAGATGCAAATATAAAAAGTTGTGTTTAATAGACTCCACGTCTAATTTCCCAACTGAAATTCTCTCTCTCCCCTACATAGGTATAATAATATTAATACAAACAATTGACAAGTAGAGTAAATAAGTCAGAAAAAGATTTTATAATAATAATAATAATAATAATAATAATAATAAAGAACTAGTGAAACTATATGAAGCGTCAATGTGGGAGTAGATAGTTAAAATAGGTAAGTGGTGTGAATTGTGGGAGATGATAATTAAAATATTTTTGAGCCGAGTGTAGCTTGTATTGAAAAGATTACGTTAAAAGTACGACTAGTTCAAAATAAAATATCACATGGAGTGAATGGAAGTATGAACACCCGAACCATCATGATGCAAAGAGTTGGCTAGAAACTAAAGGTTGTACCCCTACTGCAGATATACATCGTTCTTTCTTTGTTAAAAAAGGAAAAAAATTCAATAGTCTCTCTAACAATCTTTATGGCTTGCCGGGTGTTGGGAAAATCACAACTTTTTCTCTTACCTTCTTTGTGTCACTGTGTCAGACGTCAGTAAGCCAGCATCACTATTTTTAAATAGTTAAAACAATTAATAAATGAGGCTGAGTATCTTATGAAGAATTATGGAGATCGAGGAGGGTGTTATACGGCCTCGACGGATAACACCCTCTGAGATCTCCATAATTCTTCATTTGATACGAAAGCCGAATTCAACAATTGTTTTATTATTTATTCAAAATAATTCCTAGTTTAAAAACAAAGCTAAAACATGCTTACCTTTATCGATGTTAAGTTCACCTTCGATGCGCGATGCGCGATAGTGCACGGTTGTTCAGCTCCGCAAATATTCTCCAAATAGCAGATGTCGCCCTTCGAGTTGTGTTCTTGCTGTTCTTGCCAAGTTTTTAGCTATAATTTCGCCTAGTTCTTACTCTTGAAAAGAGTGAAATGTCCGCCATTTTTAACTCGTGGGTACGCGCGAGCGTACCACGAGTTATTGCAGGGACTGAGATATGCAAATGAGTCACTCGCTCACTCGTAGTAGACGCACTTCGTAATTAATCGGGTCCGAACTCGAGAGCGCGAAGATCTATCGTTTCCAAAGAAGCACGCGCTCGCCGAAGTTCGGTAGCATCAAATTCCTCGCTGAAAAGCGTGCATCGTGCGCTACAGCACGGTTAGGATAGAGGTCTTACCAAATTTAAGACACGCAGGAATCTTTCAAATAAGTACGATTCAAAAGCCTTTGATCCGTCCAGGCGTTAAACTTGACAAGAAGATGAGCATTTTCTCTTCGACTCCTTCAACTTCGACGCTGGCTTGATCTCCTACCTTGTAGTAGTGTAGTAGGTTATGTGTATGAATGAATTTATGGCGGTCAGTATAAAACACGGACTGCGGACTACGGACTGCGGACTGGGTATAAAATATGGACTATAAAATACGGACTGGTGAAATGTATGGTAAATAAAGGCACTTCTTTTTCTTCTTCTTCTTCTTAAGGACTCCCCAAGATCACGGGGGGAAATGGATGTGAGTTTGAGCATTACCTTTAAAATAACAGCGGAAATCGAGATAAGAAAACATAAGCAAATGTTTTGCATCCTACTTCGCGGAGGATTTGTGTCGGCTTTGTATCGCTTATGTTCTTTCATTGCCATGAAATGCGTTTACATTGTTTTTTACTGTCAGTAGCCTGGTTTCAATTAGCCTTAATTTCATCCGATTGCTTCGAGTCGTTTTTTCAATCGGTTAAGTATGGCTCGATCGTTTCACCCCGGTCGTTTGCCGGCGGAAGTTCCATGGAAAAGGCATTAAAGGTGAGACTTTTCGCGAAATCTCGTGACCATCCTCAATGGCGTAGTGGCTATGTGAGGTCGTGTCAGCCCGAAGGTACTGGGTTCAATTTCTGCTGATGATCTTCTTTTTTCCTTTCTTCCCTTTTTTTTTTCTTTTTTGTTTTGTCTTTTTTGCCTATTTGTTTTGCTGTTTTTTTTGTTCTTTTGTTTTTAAATATATACTTAAATAACTGTTACTAAAGTGCAATAAACAGCAAGAAAAGTATTGTGTTTCCAGAACAAGGATAGTATATTTGTAATCTGAATTTCTATCATTTCCTAAAATTCACTGTGGGAAAACCAGAGGTGTTAAGTACTTGATTATTTTCTTAACAACGTACCCACGAGTTGACGATAGTCTTTCTTTGATTTGTTTTCACAACCAAAACAACTCAACCTCGTCCCCAGGCAGCATTCCCTGGAATATGTACAGGTGTAATACATTATAACCCTCGTGTCTTGGTGTCGCCTTCGATGTAGGAGAAACGAAATCATCTTCTTTTTTTCCTGTTTATAGCTGGATGCGCTGCGATCCTTAAAGATGAACAGCACCATGAACATTGTCGACAATTACCGCCCAGTTCAGAACCTTGGCAGTCGTAAAGTGAAATCTAACTTAAGTTCGACCCAGGCACCTCCGACTACTACCGCTGTTCCTGTCCCAACCTAAGCTGCGAGCGTTGCTCTCAAAATATCCAATGTCCTTTTGATGTTGGTGCTCTTCCTGGGAGAAGTTTTCTTCCACTGAATGATCTGCAAGACCAGGTTCTCTGCCTAAAGAGGCGGCGGGCGGGGAGGGGGGGGAATAATGTCTTTCTGTACAGTTTGGGGGCTGTGCAGGTGGGTCTCGGAAACTTCTTTGCTACACTAGGCTATATATTCAGCAGCACTTTTGCAAATCTATTTTTGCTAGACTTCATTTTCCTGTGCTCTTAACGCTATCAATCCAACAGCTGGGAGCTGGTTACTTTGTGATATCATTATAATTAATATGTACCCGTGGAAGCTGGAAATACGAAAGTGATGAGCACATGAAATTTCATATATCTGAAACTCTGTAATTTCTACACCACATTCCAGGCTGACGGAATTGCAAACCACGCTTCATGAAGTAACATAAGAGTGTATTCCATTCCATTAATGATCGACATGTTAATTTTCCATTCATGACAAAAAGTATGACATAAAATGCCCTCGTCATTTCTCAGTGGAATGGTGGTAAAG